TTTCTCACTGTCATTTAATGGGAGTATTTTATCCATTTACATTTAAGGTAATTATTGATGCAGTTAGGTTTAGGTTAGCAATTTTACTATTTGTTTTCTGTTTGTCCCCTCATATTTTGTTTCTCTGCCTCTTTTCCTGCTTTCTTGTGGGTTAATTGAATGTCTTAAAGAGTTACATTTTAATTTATTTATAGGCTTTTTAGCTTTATCTCTGCATCAGTTTATGAGTTTTATTAAAGTTTTTCTTCATATATTTTCTGCTAGCTTTATTTCTAGATGCAGTATTTTATCTTTTAGTTGCTATTATAAATAGTATCTCTTCACTAATATCTGTATTTATAAAAGTTACTGTTTTCTATTTATTTATTTTGTACCTAGCTCTTTCATCTTTAACTGAGATATTTTGTAGTCATTTTTAAGTTATACTCTTAGTCCTGCAAGTTTACAATCACATATTCTACAGAAAGTGATCATTTTACTTCTTTTAAATTTTTAATACCTTTATTTTCTTTCTTATGTCTCATTGTGTCTGCTAACATAATGGTATATTTTAAATTAGGATAAGGAGGTCAGAGGTGACATCACTCTGAAGTCAACCAACATTTCTAGAAATTTGAATTTTCTTATGCACCAAGCTTAGAATAAAAATCCATTAAACATAAACCCAACTATTTACATTTTGATCACTTAAATAAGGTCTGATATTTATATTGTCCCACCTTTTGAATGGATTTGATATTTGCCTTTCTGATTATGATAACTGTTTTCTTGTGTAGGTGTTATCAAAACCAATGCCACTCCAGAGAAAACAGATGAAGAAGAGAAAGGTAACTAATCTTTGAAACCCTGTCACCTAGGACTTGCCTCTCTGGAGCCAGAGGCACTGTGAGTTATAAGATCGAGGAGATGAAGGGGACTCAGCCAAGGAGATTGAGAGCAGTCAGTGAGATAGAACCAATAGAGGGTGGTGTCCCAGAGATTCTGCTAGCTTTATTTCTAGTTGCAGTATTTTATCTTTTAGTTGCTATTATAAATAGTATCTCTTCACTAATATCTGTATTTATAAAAGTTACTGTTTTCTATTTATTTATTTTGTACCTAGCTCTTTCATCTTTAACTGAGATATTTTGTAGTCATTTTTAAGTTATACTCTTAGTCCTGCAAGTTTACAATCACATATTCTACAGAAAGTGATCATTTTACTTCTTTTAAATTTTTAATACCTTTATTTTCTTTCTTATGTCTCATTGTGTCTGCTAACATAATGGTATATTTTAAATTAGGATAAGGAGGTCAGAGGTGACATCACTCTGAAGTCAACCAACATTTCTAGAAATTTGAATTTTCTTATGCACCAAGCTTAGAATAAAAATCCATTAAACATAAAGAAACCCAACTATTTACATTTTGATCACTTAAATAAGGTCTGATATTTATATTGTCCCACCTTTTGAATGGATTTGATATTTGCCTTTCTGATTATGATAACTGTTTTCTTGTGTAGGTGTTATCAAAACCAATGCCACTCCAGAGAAAACAGATGAAGAAGAGAAAGGTAACTAATCTTTGAAACCCTGTCACCTAGGACTTGCCTCTCTGGAGCCAGAGGCACTGTGAGTTATAAGATCGAGGAGATGAAGGGGACTCAGCCAAGGAGATTGAGAGCAGTCAGTGAGATAGAACCAATAGAGGGTGGTGTCCCAGAGGCCGGAATAAGGAAGTGTTTTAAAGGTAGGGAGTCCTGTATAGGTAATAAGTTAACAGAACTGAAAATTGACTACTCAGTTGACTTAGAATGTAGAAATCATTGATGAGTTTGACAAGGGGCTGTTGAAGGCACGTGGGGAGAGTAATGAAAAACCTCTAAGTGTGCACTCTGGGGAGAATAGGAAGTGGACAGCAGAGCCAGCATAGAAGTGGACAGTCTAAGTACAGACAGCCCTGTGAGGGAATGCTCCATGAAGGGAGCAGAAAATTAGGGCGGTAAGTGGATGGGCATGTAGGATAAAGGAGGAAGATTTATGATGAGGGATGGCAAAACATGTACACATGCTGGTGGGAGTGATCTAGTAGAGGGAGAGACAGAATGCAAGAGAGAAGGGTCACTGCTGGGAGGAATGTCCCTGTCCAGAAGACGGGCTGGGATCAGGAGCATAACTGTCCATCCATAGTTAATAGCAGCGAAGGTAGAGAGAGGATGCCCACAAACACAGGTGGGTGTGTGGGTTGTCACCACAGCATGTGGAGGCGCTTCTGATGGTGTTTCCTTCTCGGGGTCCTGAGAAGGTGGAGAGGTCAGAAACTGAAGAAGGGAGACGAGTGAATGAGTGGTGCATAGAAACATAAACACTGTCCAGAGACTCAGCCTATTTGCATCTAGGGATCAGGAGCTAAAGTGAGACTTTTTGGTGTGATTGTGTTTTCCTCCCACCTTGCTGGGCTATCCAGGAGTGGGTGCAGACGTGGGGTTTGCCTGATGAGTATGAGGAAGATCTGTTGGTTTTTTCCTACAGAGGACAGAGCCGCCCAGTCCTTACTCAACAAGCTGATCAGAAGCAACCTTGTCGATAACACCAACCAAGTGGAAGTCCTGCAGCGGGATCCCAGCTCTCCGCTCTACTCAGTCAAGTCCTTCGAGGAGCTTCGGCTGTGAGTACCTGTTCCTTTGAACAACTGATCCTTGCTAGTTCCTCTTTTGTAAGACTTAGTATCTCAGAGACCTTGTGGGAATTTTCCTCTCTGCTTTCTTTTAAAATCTTAATATATATTTACTTTCTTTGACTAGTTAATAATTCACATGATTCAAAAGTTTAAAAGTATGAAAAAGTGATGGTCTCCCTCCACCCTTGTCTCTTGGCAACCCAGTTTTCCTCCTTAGGGAATTTTAAATGCCACAGATTTATTCATCATAGCTGAAAGTCTTTTTTCTTTTATGCTCTTAGAACTTTCAATAAAATATTGGCTGACAGGTGATTTCTGGATGTCAGGAACATTTCTTATTAGGTAAGCCCTTTTGTTAGACTATAGGGTTTACAGTGTTAAGAAAAGTTTATCTACTTTTATAAAATCTGTCCAAAAAGCCTGTGCAGGATTCCCAGTAACTATATTGAACATCAGCCTTCAGTGTTATAGAATTTTTTCAAAAAATCCAGAACCCAGGACCAAGCCTTAAGTGTGTACATTTATGGCACTGTGCTGAGAATGACTTCTAAGATGTCCTTACTCTAAATGCAGAGAATTCTATAACGTCATACCAAGTTTTCTGTTCCCTTCAGTAAGTTAGTAAAGAGGTATTTATGGGTCATTGGTTTATATACTTGACACGGCTGGGTGTTGTGAGTAATACAAGATGTAACTACCGTTCTTGCTGCTTACCAGCACCCAAATCATAGACAGAATAGCTGGTGAATAAAAAAGTGGTGGAATGAATGGATTCTTTGTCTTGTTCATTGCCCACACATACACACTTAAAGTCAGAGAACTAACTAGAAACCAAATCAAGGTGTTAATGAAGCAATAGCTAAGATTTTTAAATAAAAAATAAGTTTTAAATAAAAAATAAAAATAAGATTTTTAAAGTGTGGCCTTCCCCGCCACCGCCCCACCCCCCCCCACCGGAAATTATACTTTTCTATGTGTATTTTCTCTATGAAAGGCTTTTTTCAGTAAATTTGTCATCTCTGCTTCTCTTCATACTTTCTGTCAGAGCAGCTCAGCGTGCTCTGGCTGCTTGCCTTTCCTGGTATCAGTGGTCTTATTCAAAGGACTGGAGCTCTCAGGTCAACCAGTGATGAACTGGCCTCTGAAAAGGCAAGTTCTTTCTGATTTAATTGTTAGTAGCTGAACGAAACAAAGAATAAAACCTAGGCCACCTATATACTTGGTTTATTTTGTACTGAAAAGATAGGCAAAATAAAAGGGAAATAATGAGCCACTGAAAGTTCCTGGATCACTTGAGTCCTCTTTCAGTAGTAACTTTGTTTTCTTGGCAACTAAATCAGAACCTGCCAAGCCTCACAGCCTTTTCTTCCAAATGGAAATACACTAATTTTCAAAGTTCTTTGTGTCTGAGAACCACCAGAGGCCAGAAAAACTGCCTTTTAGAGACCCTGTTGAACTCTCAGGAAGGCTGAGAGAACATTCTTGCCTTAGTTTGATGTTTCTTTAATAATAATCTGGTGTGATTTTTGTTAAACATCCTGTCAGTTTAGAAGTAGCAGAGAGCTTGTTACAGATGTGCTATAGAACAGCTTTAATTGATAGTTGTTGTGCAGCCACTTGTATAAGAAGTTGGTGCTTTTGAGTAGACGTAGTAGACCTGAGCAGCTGTAAAGTCCAGTGTGGTAACTGAACCTCCGTCCCCTATCTACTAGAAACTGGCTGAATCCATGTTCTTAGGTCTCAGTGGTCCCGAGTCTCTGTGCGGCTGGCTTGTCTGGAAGGCCTATGGAACACAACAGGGCTGTGGTTCCGTGGAGCGCCTGCACTGAGAAGGGAGAACCAAGTCTCCTTCTCAAAAGGGGCTTGTGTGTCTTAGCGGTACAGTAAGCGGTGTTTGCGTTTAGATATCTTTCATACTTCATTTTATACTGTGAATTAATAGGAACCATTCTTACTGTATCCAGGCCAATCAAATTTGTGGGTCTACTGAAAGATGAATTCCTCTAAGAAAGGAAACTAGCCCAGATTTTATAAATTGCATAATAGTTTCAGATCAAGATTTAGTAGGGAAAGATGTTGGTTTTATTTTTAGTTAGTATTTTTTAAGGCACAGGGAAATATGTCTGACGGAGACATAAAGTATCTCTGTTTGCTAGATATAGGGAAAAATAAAATCTTAGGTCTTGAAAACAGTTGCGACAGCTAGGAACCATCCTCTCTCTCCCCGGCCTCCTAGGAAACCACAGCTTCTCCAGGGAGTCTATGCCATGGGCTTCAATCGGCCATCCAAGATACAAGAGAATGCGTTACCCATGATGCTTGCTGAGCCGTGAGTATACAGACCCTGGTACACATCTCCAGGATGGGGTTTCGCATCTCCCACCAAGAGTGTAGTAGTGTTCCTGAGCACAAGATGAGCCATTGGGAGCAGCAGGCTTCTTCAGGGAAACAGCTTGGACAGGTGGCAAGAGAATCAGGTGCAATTCAACACATTTTCTGCCCTTTCCACTTAATGAAAACTGATAGAGAAAGTCAGTGCTGTTTTAAACACTTTTAAAAATAATTTTGAAAATTTTGAGGCCTTCAAAAAAGTATCAGGAACCATATCAGGAACATTTCTGTAACGCATCCTGCCGAGAAATAAAGCCTCATTAATCTAGTTGACAACTGTAGTCCCCATGTAACCCTCTCCACTCACAGCCCCTCCCCGACCCAAGAGCGCATCACAGAAGTGGGTCATCATTTCTCATGGTTCTTTATCCTTTTACTACATACCTATGTTTCCCTAAGGATCTAAAGAGTAGTTGGCATATTTTTAAACCTTAGATAATACTTTACATAGCATACTTTATATAGCAACTTTTTTCACTCAACTATATTGCTTTTCTTTTTTAATGATGAAAATGCCACCTGTTCCCATGACACTGAATTACATGGAGTGAAATACGAAAGCTTCCTCTGAAGCATCCGACTTAGTATCTTACATTTTCCGAAGGTGGGAAAAGGGAGCACACAGAAGGAGCCGAGTCCTGAAGACACATCATGCAGTAAGATTTGCCCAGATTTGACTCTGCAGGCACAATTCCCATGGGCCTCTTGGGGTATAAAACTAGGGAACTCTAGCTGCACTAGAGTCTAGGATGAATATTTAGTGTGAGCCCATCTAAAATAATCATCATTTCCCTTAATATTTAAGCAGGTTTTTTTAAACAACATATAAAAAATTTATCATTGTGCTCAAGGCAGAAAACCTAAATGAGGGGAAAAATCCCTTTCCCTACCACCCAGAGAGAACATTTGGATACTTGATTGTTTCTAACCAATGTTATCCTCATCTCTGTTCTTCCTGGGTCCAGCCCACAGAACCTGATTGCCCAGTCGCAGTCTGGTACTGGGAAAACGGCCGCCTTCGTCCTGGCCATGCTCAGCCGGGTGGAGCCAGCAGAGAGATACCCGCAGGTGAGGGGGTCCTGGGGGCCCTGGAAGGGCAGCGCCATCTGGGGGCTGCGGTTGACAAGGGCATCCCTGGTGGAATCTGAATGCTTCTGATGCTTCAGACTGTTGCTCAGGCAAAGCCCAATGGCACAACAGGCCCTTCCATGGGTAGGATTCAAAGCAGCAGCCTTGAATGTGGCTTCTGACAGCATCTGCCAAGCCAGGCCTCCCTGCTGAAGACTTCCGTCTACAGCTGACAGGCAGGCCGGGTTGATGGGCACGGGGCTCCCCGCACTGTTTGGGTGGTAATGATAACCAGTGTTCCTGCTGCTCTAGAACCTGTGGCCTGCCACTGCAAGGCTTTTCTAAACTCATCTCCTATGATCTGCCCGTTAGTGTCTGTGCCTCTCCCCGACGTATGAGCTGGCGCTTCAAACAGGAAAAGTGATTGAACAGATGGGCAAATTTCATCCAGAACTAAAGCTTGCTTATGCTGTTCGAGGCAATAAATGTGAGTATAAAGGGGCAAGACCCAGGCTATGAGCTCAGGCAGCAGGTGGGGTGTTTGAATTTTGAAGATGAGGTGATATTCAACTTTCTGGTTTAGTCTGACCTTGGAGCCCAGCATGGATTTCAGCAAATTTATTTAAATACTTGCCCATTTCTTAATAATTCTCTCCACTCTTAAAATAAGATTTTAAGTTGTTAAAAAATCCCTGCCTGAGTCATGGGGCTCTTAAAGTGTGGAGTGTTTCCCTGAGGAGGCAGGGTTTGAAATCAGCATCCAGAGTTCTGAAAGCTGCCTACGAGAGAGAGCAGGGAGGATGGTAGGTTGGATCAGATCCCTTTCTTCAGAGGCAAAACAGCTTTAGTAAGAGTGATCTACGAGCATGTACAGTTCTTACCAAATCAGAAATCCTTCCACCAATTCTTTTTTCTGCAAAATTTAGAGAATGTAGTTAAAATAGGAGGACAGGTAGAAAATTGGTAATGGGGAAGTTACCAGAATATAAAACTACAAATCAAATAGAAAAAAGTAATTATTCTAATAGGAAAATGGACAAAAGAGGAGTGAACAGACCCCTTACTAAAGAAGGAATTCAGATGGCTGCTCAATGGGAAAAGAAATACAGCTTCATTAGTCATCAGGGACACGTCGGTTGAAACCACTATATGCCTCTCAGATGGTAGAAATGAGGGAGTATGACATACCAAGTGTTGGCCAAGATGCAGAACTAGGAAGCTCACGGGCTCCAGTGGGGAGTATACACAGGCACACTCACTTCAGGAAGCAGCGGGCGTTACCTAGACAAAGAGAAGAGGGACATCCCTTCAATTCAGCTGTTTATAATTGCCTCGAGCAGCAATTCTTAAACCTTTCAACTCTTACTCTTAAACTTTATTGAGGGCCCTAAGTGCTTATTTTGGAAGAATATGAAGAAAATCTAGCCTTTCTTAAAATTTCAGATACTGTTTTTAGGATGCCATACCAAAACCCAATGAGTAGTAATTATGTAAAAGATAATTGCCATGTGATATTTGAAATCATATTAATGACCTCTTCATACTGTTACATTAAAATTCCTTGTTCTCCTTTGCACTTTGAATGCATCTTTTGTGCAATAGTAATTTTCTAACATTATACCTTGGTCATTTGGCAAATACCAAATGTCTTACTGAGTTATGCTGAGAATGTTGACATGTTTCATTATACAGAATTTTAAATAGCATTTAAAATGCATTCATGTCACCACCAAACAACTCAGAGGAGTTTACATACAGAGAAACTCTCAAGTTTACAGCAACACTATTAAGTTTTCCCAAAGTTCTGATTTTCTCTTACACTTTAAGTGTTATCATGACAGCAAATAACAGTCGATTGTTTTCACTGAAAAGTCAGGCTCTCGTTCATATTCAAGAAAGTGTATATCAGATTCCCTAGTTAATTTTCTATAGTTTGTCAGTCAACAAACAAAAATGGCTTGTACAGTTCACACACAGATGATCACACAAGGACTTTTCCTGGAGAAAACCATCATATTTCAGCATGCAGCAGTAGCACTTTAACCAGAAATTATTAGGTTAGGTGTATTTGTATGTGTTTGATGTCTCAAACTGACAGGTGCAACTAAGTGTACTATACTGGAGCCTTGTGACAACATGGATCTTCTCTAGATTGTTTATAATAACAGGGGACTTCACTGTGTGTGAGGAGTTAATATATTACTATATATTAAATATAGTAATAACCACTTAATGTACTATTTTTTTTTAATTCACTGTAGACTGATCAGCAGTGTGCAGTGAAAATCACAGTGTGTTGAAGGTTTCATTTAAAACTCTTCCAATGGAGTTGATGTATTCCTAACCAGAGTCCCCTTCTCAAATTTTAAATTTTGTTTTTAAAATTTAAGTTAAAAACATTCATGTGTTTCAAAATTAAAAAGGGTATATGGTAGAAACTTTTCTGTCTCCTATACCCTTCAACCATTTGGTTCTCCTTCCTAGAGCACCCATAGAGAAGGAAGTGGCAACCCACTCCAGTATTCTTGCCTGGAGAATCCCATGGACAGAGGAGCCGGGTGGGCTACAGTCTGTGGGGTCACAAAGAGTGGGACACGACTGAGTGACTAAGCACAGCCCAGCACAGGGCACCCAGTACTAAACAGTGCCTCATGTGTCCTACCAGAGACGGTCTGTGTGGCTGCTGACAAGCGATACTGTGTGTGTGCATATATGATGTGTGCATTCACACACACGTACACATACCACATGTATTATTTTTTGCCCCCATTGGCATATAGGTTGCTCTGCAACCTCTTTTTCACATTTAATAATGTATTTCGGAGATTACTGCATATCAGTTCCTAAACAGCTTTATACTTTTATTGGTGTCATCCATTGGGTGCATCATATTTTGTTTAATTAGTTATGTCTTGATGCATGTATATCCTTGTATATATGTTATTTCACACATACTCATATGCACACAGGATTGATTCCTAATAGTGGAAGTTCTGATCAAAAGCTACAGGCATTAGTAAATTTTTTTTAATGTTCTAAATTGCATTTTTGGGGGAGGAGGGGTGCGGCAGGCGACAGTTGACATATGGCATGCAGGTTCTTACTTCCCCAGCCAGGGTCTTGAACCTCTGCCCCCTGTAGTGAAAGCATGGGGTCTTAACAGCTGGACCACCAGGGAAGTCCCATGCATTAGTAATTGTGTTGATGGATAAAGCAGTGTCAACTCCTACCAGCAGTAGTTGGAGAGTAATGTATACACATTGTGTTTTTTTTTTCTAATAGAATTTGTATTTAGGAAAACCATGGACACAACTAGAATGTCTAACAAGGCAAAAAATCACTGGGCCAGAATCCTGGGACTCAAAAATAACAATTTATAAGGAAATCAGTGAAGCATGAGTGAAGGGATGGTATAAAAAGAATAAGAGTAATGCTAAAGAAAAAGAGCTGGGTGATGGGAAATTACAGGAGGAAGTAGGTAAAGGAAACTAACATGCATGGAAGATTCATGCAATTTATTCCCACCCACAGTACAGTGAGACAGGTGTCATGGCCGTTTTATAGCAGAAGGACCCAGAAGTTTTAGATAGAAATGCCCGCAGAACACATCTTGTCTCCACAGTGGAAAGAGGTCAGAAAATCAGTGAGCACATTGTCATTGGCACCCCGGGGACCGTTCTGGACTGGTGCTCCAAGCTCAGGTTCATCGACCCCAAGAAGATCAAGGTGTTCGTCCTCGACGAGGCCGACGTGATGATAGCCACCCAGGGCCACCAAGACCAGAGCATCCGCATCCAGAGGTAGGCCTGGAGCGGGAGGGACTTTGGGCTCCCGACCTGCAGCTCCTGCTCCTGTCACCGCACACTCGCTTTCTCGCCCCTGCCAGGCTCCTCGAAGCTTTCAGGGGCACTTGTTTGATGGGCCATTTCTGTGTCAGCACTGAGCGCGCCCTCCGCCCGGGTTAAGGAGGGAGACCCAGAGACTCTTGGTCACCCATCCCTGCCCCGCGGCTGCTCCCCCTTCCTCCCCAAAGCTGCTCCCCGCTGCCCCTTCCTGGGGATGCAGGTCATCAGGCCTGGGGAGGCTGTGCCCCGGTCCTTCCAGGGAAAGCCCGGGTCAGGGTCATGCCGGACAGCTGGGCCTCCCCTTGCAGGATGCTGCCCAGGAACTGCCAGATGCTGCTTTTCTCTGCCACCTTTGAAGACTCTGTCTGGAAATTTGCCCAGAAAGTGGTCCCCGACCCGAACATCATCAAACTGAAGCGTGAGGAGGAGACACTGGATACCATCAAGCAGTATTACGTCCTGTGCAACAGCAGAGACGAGAAGTTCCAGGCCTTGTGTAATATCTACGGGGCCATCACCATTGCTCAAGCCATGATCTTCTGCCACGTGAGCAGCAGCAGCAGGCAGCGGCGGTGTCCCGTGGGGGTGGGGGCCCCCGGAGGACGTGGCCCCGCTCCTCCCACTCAGCCAGCTGCACTTAGCGCTGGGGACCGTGTTAACTGCCTGTGGCTGCAAAGGAGATAAATCGGTCCCAGGACATAGTCTCTCAGGCTGTAATGAGTTGTAAGGGGAAGACTGAAGAGCTAAACCTTCTCCGATCCCTACTTCTCAGAGATTACTTGGGGGGAAAAAATTCCAAATAACTTCCAAGTAAATAATTTTGAAGCATTAAGAATGTAGATTATTTCAGAATGAAGACCTTTGGCTCAAACCACAACACTGAGATCACTGATGTAATTTATCCCCCCAAAATCATGTGGCTAAAAAATATTCAGAAACTTTAAGCCCATCTTGCTGACTGAACTCAGTAGAGCGTTCGTGTGTGTTAACAGCAAAAAAACCCACTTTTCTGCAGGTGTCATTTTTTTTTACAGGTGTCTTCATTTAAAACAATTCTTTTCACTCCAGACCCGCAAAACAGCTAGCTGGCTGGCCGCAGAGCTCTCGAAAGAAGGCCACCAGGTGGCCCTGCTGAGTGGGGAGATGGTGGTGGAGCAGAGGGCTGCGGTGATTGAGCGCTTCCGGGAGGGCAAAGAGAAGGTTCTGGTCACCACCAACGTGTGTGCCCGCGGTGAGCGGAGACCGGGTCCTGGCCCGCCAGGCTCGGGGCGGCAGGGAGAGCTTCGTGTGTGGGAGGCTGCGGTGGTTTGGGGGAGATGCTGTTTTGTGGGCGAGCCTGTGGGGCTCCTCAGCCGAGGAGACCGTCCACAGAAGCCGGGAGTGCTGGCTGGTGGCCGAGGACGGCGCCTGCTCTTCTTGGCCCCAGTGCGGCGTCAGCTCCTTCTCCAGATCCTGGGATCCAGCAGAGGCTCTCTGGCTGATGCCAGAATTTGGCCAGCACCGGGATGGTCCCGTCCTCTCCCTCTGGGTTCTGCCACCTGCCCGTGTCCCAACCCCAGAGCTGGCCTGTCCCAGACCCTGCCTTCCGCCTGAGCTGGGTGAGGGTGGGCCTGACCGGGCAGCGGCGATTTCTGTCTCCCGCGCTCACTCGTGTCCAACTCTCCCGCACGCAGGGATCGATGTGGAACAGGTGTCTGTCGTCATCAACTTTGACCTCCCCGTGGACAAGGACGGGAACCCGGACAACGAGACCTACCTGCACCGGATCGGGCGCACCGGCCGCTTTGGCAAGCGGGGCCTGGCCGTGAACATGGTGGACAGCAAGCACAGCATGAACATCCTGAATAGAATCCAGGAGCATTTCAGTGAGTCCCGGGAGGGGCCCTGTCCCTGTCCCGGCCCTCGCCTTCCCCAGGACAGGATGGTCTCCGTGCACCCGGAGCGCTCGGCCGGGCTGCCACCTCGGGGGCGCGGGGAGGCCTGCGGCGGGGGACGGGCACGTCCCAGGGAGCCCCTCCCCTCCTGCGTGCCCTGCGATCTGTGCGGGGCTCTCTCTGAACCCGCCTTTCTCTTCCCTCAGATAAGAAAATAGAAAGACTGGACACGGACGACTTGGACGAGATTGAGAAAATAGCCAACTGAGAAGCCCCTGCAGTCTGCGCCGCCCCCGCCCCGGACACGAGTGCTTCCACGGCGCAGCCTGACTGTTCCCGCGAGGATGACAGCAGGAGTAGACAAACTGCCTACCTCATCTGAAATTACGTTTGGACCTGATAAAAATTACCCAAATTATTCAGGAAGGTAGAAGAAAAAAATCTGAGTTTTGGAAAATTGAGTCCTTTTCCTCCCATCCCTTTTCCAAGCCACGGTCTCCCCCATCTTTATAACAATGTGGTCACTATTGGTAACCGCTGGCCGCAGGAGCCACTGCCTGTTTTCTGGCCAGGGGTGTCCAGACCACCTCGAGGCCCTGAAGCAACAACAGAGGAGCAGCCTGGGCCCTCCGCGGACCCACTGGTGTCCCGGCTGATTGCTTTCCCTCTGTTCCCTGCAGAGGAATCCCGCCCTCTCCCGGGGTGAGCGTCTTGGCTCCCTTTGTACACCTCAGATTTGGGGGGGAGCACGAAGTCAGCGAACTGTCTTCAGAGGCACTGGCCTGGCACAGCTGGGTGGCCCAGGGCTGCCTCCCCCTCCCGCAGTGGCTCTGTCTGCTCAGGTGCCTGGCGTCCCGGCCGCTGAGGTGGTTTCTGACACACACCTGGCCGGGTGAGCTCTTAGCGTGGACGGCACACTATGCCTGGACGTGAGCAGCAGAGTTTGGAGGGCAAGTTATGACAAAGCGAAAGCTCTGATGATGCCGTTCATCCGTAACAGTGGACCTGTTACTTACTCTGATTCATATACTGTCTTTATGAATAAGGACAGACTAATCAGAGCTCTACCCATCATCCACTATGTTAAAAAATTTAAAAATAATTATGGAACGCTTTACTAATCATGATTTGTTGTTTTTACTTGTATTTTTCTGCTTATTAGACTAATACATGCTCATTAAAAAGGTGTGTGTGTGTGTAATTTATAAAGTGCAAGTGTTCTGGCCCCCGCCTCTCTGGGTTCACCACTGCTAGCAGCTTGATGAATATTCAGAATATCGCCTTCTGTTTGATTATGTCAACCTACTTTTCTTTTGCAAAAATGTGAACATTCTGCTGGCATTGTGCAGCCTGCCTTCTCACTCACATGTGTGTCTTGGACACGTGATATGGCGGTGCCTCCCTCTCCATCAGCACCATTCCAGGATGTAGCTGCTCCAGCATTTGCGTCCCGGCTCCTAGTGAGAAACACGGGGTTGTTGCCCACAGCAAATGCTGGTCCCTCTCCTCTCTGCCCCGCTGAGACCTACTTAGGATGTGTTTCTGGAAGTAGAGTTGTTGGGTCAGAGTGGAGATGCTTAACATTTTAACACATTGCTAATGTAGCCTGCTGAAAAGTTTTTACCAACATGTCATTTCAGTAATAACAAAAATACCTACCTGCTTGCCAACCCCCCTCCATATGAATTTTTAAAACTGCAACTCCGAGGAGCAAAAATAGATTACATAATTGCTTTTTTTTAATTGTAGCAATATTTGGGTTTATTGGTATTTATACCAGCACCTCTTCTGGGGGTGCTGCCCATTCCCATCTCACCATTTTGTCACCGGCTTGTTTGACCTCTGTGAGTTATAGCCACCTTTCTACTTTAGGGAAGTTAGACTGTCTTGAGTGGTAGATGTTTTCCTAGTTTGTCTTTACAAAATCATTTTTTCTTAATACTACACAAAAGTTTAACTTCAGTCGTCTTAACATTCATTTTTAAGAAATCTGGATTTGGTGTCGTGGGCAGAAAATCTTTGCTCATCTCAGTATTATAAATTACTCATGTTTTTGTAGGTCTTAAAATGATTTGCCTGCCTGATCTTCTGTGAGGTATTACTATGACCTATGGGTGAGTGTATGGCAGAGCTGTGCATGCGTGGGTCAGATTTGAGACCGAGCGACAAGGTCCGAATGGGACCGGATGTGGGAGAGAGTCCTGGGAGTGAAGCAGGCAGACAGTGACCGCAGGTTATGAGGGGTGCACACGAGCCACGGGTGCGGGAGTGGCTCTGAGAAGAGTGGGGTGAGAAAGGCAGCAAGGGTCCAGAAAGGCTGGGGACGAGGCAGCGGGGGTGGCGAGGAGGAGGCGTGCGGGTGTTCGGAGGGAAAGGAGGGACAAGAGGCCTGGTGCAGAGCCAGCGTTCCAGTTAGGTGACACCCACGTGGACCCAGAAACACAGCAGCAATACAGAAAAGGGAGAACCAGAAAACATACTGTCCAACCCCCAAAACGAGGTGAATACTGTGGATCAGCAACCGAGAGAAATGCAGTGTGCTGAGCAGGGCTGAAGCCAGAGCTTGCTGTGCTCCTGTCTGGGGGCAGAGCAGCTGCCGGCCAGCAGGTCCCGTGGAGCCAAGGAACTGGGAAGCGCTGCATACAAGATCGGAACCCAAGGCAGCATTACTGCTCGGATGGAGCTGGACAGGAGCTTCACCTGCCTGCCTGCTGGATGGAGGCTTCCATCAAGACACAGGCCCTGGAGGCAGGGAGGAGGACTTGGGCCCTGTCCTGCAATACGAACACAACCAAATTTCAGCAGATTCGCACAGTAAGACTATCCCTGGATGTTCCTGATTGGTTGACTCTTGACCCTTTCCCCCGACTCCTTCCATGGAAAAAACCTTTTTTTAAAAAAATAGACTTGATTTTTTTAGAATAGTTGTAAGTGTATAGAAAGAAAAAGCAAAGTTACCTTACAGTAAAGGAAGGACTGAACTCAGATCCCTCTGAATGTGGACACTCACTGTGTGTTCTTTTTACTTCAAGCCTTCCCTTCTCTTCCCTAGAGAGAAGCCGCGTTACCAGAAAGAGCCTGTACTCTTCTCAAAAACAAAAACCAGTTGTTGGATGAAAGGTATTGTTTCTATATTCTTGGGGAACAGGCTGGCCCTGATACGCACAGTTCACTGAGTGGAAGGGGAATGGGCATCTTTTTGCATTTTTGTGTTAGTTGTCACACAGACATAGACTCACTGCAAAAGCTGTGATTTTTCTGGACGGGTAGTGAGAAGGAGCATTGATTCCTAACTCACGCTCAGAAAGGAAAAATTTGATTTGTAAAAATGTTTTAGGGTTTCACCCTTCCCCTCCGCAAGCCAGGAATGATGTTTTCCTACCGTGCCAAGCGTGTCACAGGAAGGAGTTCCTTGCCTGCCGAATGGCAGTTCCCAGCCGTTCGTTCCTGTGATAGATAAATAAAATATTTAATCATTTCCTGCCCCTTCCCCTGGCATCCAGCAGAGTGCCAGCCAAGTGTGTATCCACCTACCCCTGGCCAGGCCATAAATCCAAGTGTTTCTCTCCAAGGATCCCTCTGTATTCAGACAGCATTACTGCTTACCCAAATATGGTACCTCTCTTTAGAGTACACATTCTTACTGGATTGAGGCATGGCCGTGGGACTTCTCTGGCATCAAGGAAATGTGAACTTCTTGACAGAAGCATTCAAAGACAGCCTGTGGCTCACAAGATTCTTTTTATCTGCTCCTGAAACAACAGACCCACCCCCAGATGGTGCCACTGTTTGCCTGGGTCCTGAGTGGTCTGAGGAACAGAGCTCCTGATGGAAAAATAGCTTGTGAGAAATATTTTAAGCCACTGCCAGTTGGAAAGATGTTTATCATTGCGGCACAACCTAGCTTATCCTTACCATTTCTCCCTGCCTGGGAAAAGCTGGTTCCCTGTCCAGGCAACCTAATGTCAACCCAGATAGCAGGTATGTTCCACCCAGGTATGCAAGATTCCCAAGCAGTTTCTTAATCCATTATTTTAGAAGAGAGAACAATTCCAAATTATTTAAAAAGCCTCCATCGTGACAGAAAGGGATTAAAAAAAAAATCAGAAAAAAATCAGCTCTGTGAAGACAGGAAAACTGAGGAAGAAAAGGGTATCTGCTAAGTATGCAATTAAATATCACATTTAGCTAACTTTCCTTTCCACGAGCTTGTTGAAATTATAGGGGAGGAGAAAGGTATAAACTCATATGGACAAATAAAATGGAAGCTGTGACATCAGAAGAGGAAATTTAACAAAATGTTTGGAACACACAAAAATGAATGAAAAAACTCCAATTTTTAGCGATATGGGGAACTACATAGAACATGAAAAAAAATCCCAATCCAAAAACCAGCTACAAAGTCGATGTTTGACTACATCAATGAACAACTACTTTTATTGTTTTATTTTTAACATTTAGCTCTGACTCTTTTGGTATTTTGGTGGTTTTGACTATGGATCTAATTTTATCTTTTTCCAGATGGTTATCTAGTTATTTCAATAACATTTATTGCAACATCCATCTTTTCCTAAGTGACTTGAGAGGTCATCTCTGTTATAAACTGAATTTCCATACAGACTCGGGTCTAGGCAATCGGACTAATGAAAGAGAACTGAGTATCAGGGTCAGTCAGTCAGTTCAGTTGCTCAGTCGTGTCTGACTCTTTGTGGCCCCATGGACTGCAGCACACCAGGCTTCCCTGTCCATCACCAACTCCCGGAGCTTGCTCAAACTCATGGCCATTGAGTTGGTGATGCCATCCAACTATCTCATCCTCTGTTGTCCCCTTCTCCTCCTGCCTTCAGTCTTTCCCAGCAACAGGGCCTGTTCAAATGTGTCATGCAATAAGATATAACCATTTGCCAGGTTCTGAGAATTTCAGATGCATAAGCCACCACCCCTGCCCCATAGAAACAGTCTCAAAAACATGTCTGGTTGGAGGACCAGGCTTGGTCTTATGCAGCCCTTCTGCAGGCAGAGGTTGTGTGGGGGGGGCGGGGCGGGGGTGGGGGGCTCCNGCAATCTTGATTCCAGCTTGTGCTTCCTCCAGCCCAGCATTTCTCATGATGTATTCTGCATATAAGTTAAATAAGCAAGGTGACAATATACAGCCTTGATGTACTCCTTTCCCAATTTGGAACCAGTCTGTTGTTCCATGTCCAGTTCTAACTGTTGCTTCTTGACCTGCATACGGATTTCTCAGGAGGCAAGTAAGTATCAGGGTAGTGGTCACCTTTAGGGGAAGGATGGGAGTTAGCAAGGAAGATGGAGCAGAAAGGCCTCTGGGTTGCTTGCACAACCTGAGGGTGATTACGTCAGTGTTCATCTTAAAATAAATCACTAAGGAATCTCTATACTGTTTCCCATAGTGTCTGCACTAACTGACATTCTCACCAACAGTGCACAAGGGTTCCCTTTGTTCCACATCCTCACCAGTGATTATCCCTTGTTTCTTTGATAAGTCGTTCTAAAAGTAGTGTGGTGATATCTCATTATGGCTTTGATTTGCATTTCCCTGAGGATTAAGGATGTTGCTCATCTTTTCATGGACCTGTTGGCCATCTGTATGTCTTCTTTGGAGAAATGTCTATTCATATCTGCCCATTTTTTAATCAGATTGTTTTTGGTTTTTTTGCCATTGTGTTATATGAGTTCTTTATATATTTTGGTTTCATGTTTTACATTTAGGTCTAATCCATTTGGAATTAATTTCTGTGACGGGTGTGAGATAGGCTCTAGCTTCACTCTTGTGAATAGAACTACCATATGATTCAACAATTTCTCTCCTGGGTAAACATCCAAGGGAATATTACTATCTCAAAGAGACATGTGCACTCCCATATTCACTGCAGCATTATTTACAATAGCAAAGACACGGAAACAACCTAAATGTCCATTGACAGATGAAGGGGTAAAGAAAATAAGAAAATATGAATATATATATATATATATATATATATGTAACAGACTATTATTCGGCCATTAAAAAAAAAAGAAGAAATCCTGCCTTTTGTGACAACAGGGATGGACATTGAGGGCATTATGCTAAGTGAAATAAATTCGATGGATAAAGACAAATATTGTGTGATCTTACTTTCATGCAGAATCTAAAAATACTGCTCTCATAGAAACAGAGAGCAGATTGGTGCTTGCCAAAAAGGAGGAGGAATGGGCAAAGGTGGCCAAAAGGTATAAACTTCCAATGTAGGATAAAAAGCTCTAGGGATAAGCTCATGGGAGCTATAGTTAAAAGCACAACACTTACAAATCAACTATACCTCAATAAAATTTTTTAAAATGTATTAGTGATTGGAGTACCATCTTTAAAGCCACTCTGGTGGCTGTCATTTGAGGGTCAGCAAATAATGGGATCCAAGCATAACAGAGACTAGAAAGCCATGCCTCCTGACTTGAGACAGGGAGGCACATCTACCACAATAATCCAGTTTGGCAACTAGAGTTCTGACCTCTAAGGATTTGGAACAATAGTTAATTGACCATTAAGGTCCCCAGAAATGAAACAGATGCTTGGAAGCCTACTAAAGGATTGCTTGATGTGTATGGGAGAGAAGATTCTAAGAGTGCTGGGAAGAAACCTGAGTTGCAGTGATGGGAATTTTCAGGTTTTTACTCAGTTCCCAGACCTAATCAGGCCACACACCTGGAGCCCTTTTCAAGCAGATCTCAGGGTCCTTTGTGCAGCTGTTGCTTTTCCAGAGCAACCTACTTCCGGAGTGACAGTGCACTGGGAGAAGGGAAATACCCCGACTTTCAGGAGTCACCATACGCTAGCTTTGAGACCGGAATGCCAAAGCAGTCCACTTTATTATGAGACTTTGAGCTTCTTATGGCCAATGACAGATGGAGCTCTGGTTCAAGTCTATTTAATGGTGGGTCCAATGAGATTCATTGGACATTCACAGATTCATCTTAAGGTAATTTCTTTAGTTCCAAAAGGAAAGAGAGATATTTACTACCTGGCAAAATCTCCATACTGGCAACCAGACCCATGGGGGTAGGGCCTAACAGATGTCCCTGGGACTATCTCCAACATGCTAAGTCAAACTCAATACCACATTCCAGCAGGGTTAGCAGAAACTGGTGCTGCCATCCAGCTTGAGTTATGGAAGGATGGGTGACTTCTTCCTCATCCTATTCACTCGCCATCTGAATCATGGAGAATGACAGTAGTTTATTGCAACAGTGCTAACTTGTGATTCCTGATACAGTATCTTTGCCAAATCAAAGCAATGGAGTCCGCAGCCAACATTAAAAAATAAAAAGATATAATTTGTGAGGCTCAATCCTGGAGGTAACATGTACAACATCTGGAGTGCTGCTCCCACCAAGGACAGTGACCCATAAGACAGTGGCTTTGAGTGGGGCCCAGACAAGAAACAGTTCTTGGCAGTCCTGGCTATGTGCATGTCATGTGGACTCTGGGCCTTATGATTCAGGTACATGCTACCAGGGAGTGTCTGTGGCAGAGAACGGTCATATGGAACCTCTGGCAACTCCAAATAGGAGAATTACAGCCCAGAGACCTACAGTTTCAGAATAAACCCTCCACCACTTCCAAAAAGTGGTGCCCTCCTCCACCAAAAAGTATCTTCCATTTGCAAAATCACTCAGCTTGCTCTTGGGTATTGGCAGAAACTGGACAGCAGGGCACCAAGTTGAGTACAGACTCTGAAAAGAGCCATTGTGAGATAACTCATCCACCAGACTATAAGACTGTATGTTCAGGGGCATTCTGATGCATGATGGAAGTTAAGGTCAAGTGGATCCAGACAGCCTAAGAAAATGGCACAGTTACCTCAGACGCCTGTGGCACCAGCTCCAAGCATTTTGCCAATTCCCTGCCAACCCACACCTATGGCATCGTGCGAAGCTGCACAGAACCCAGAAACAGAGCAGGGAAAGCCCCATCCTGGTACCTGCAGGGTCTGCACACTGCCCTGGGCCCACACAGCAGGCAGTGGTGAAGGCCACCCTCCCAGAGGGCACAGCTGGCGGCTGGGAGGCTTCATATATAAGGGATGGGTGCCTGGGAGTCGTCCCTTCCCCACTTCACCACCCCCTCCCAGCAATGCCCACAACAGTCTTCACCATTACTTGGTCACAACTTCCAATTGACAGATACACCTTTCCACCATCAAACACATTTCAAAACGAACAAGTGAATATAGTTTCTTATTTTTAATTCAGAAAGAGAAAGGGAAGAAAATAAAAAACATTTGCTTAAATAACTATTGTAGAAAAGAAGATCTGGGCTGGGTGCTGGGACCTACTCCAGAATGGGGATTTATTAATGTTCTAAACAAAACAAAACCCAAACAAAAGAAGAAAAAGGAACAACAACAAAAGAAATAAATTATTCTGCTCAATACTGTTTGGCATAATTGCATTTTTTCATCTCTTAAACACTCAAGAGCCTCTTTAGGAAGCACTGAGATGAGACTGGCAAGAATAACTGGTCTTGACTTTCTAAAATGATGGGGAGGAGGTGGTGAAAGAGGTGTTCCAATAAAGGCCTCCCTAACCCACCCCCGTTCTTCACTCCTCCTACTTTTGGAATTGGTAAGGGACAGACTCAAGCTAAGTTCTCAATATATTAACTTTTAGCGGGGCCCACTGCCCCCCACTAAGCCTCTAACATACTCCTCTGCTGGCTCCTGTTCCCTCAGCCAGCTGCAGGAACTATACCAAAGACCAGGAGGCTGCCGAGTGGTATCAACTCACTAAGAAAAACGGGTGGTTTTTATGTTTGTTTGTTTGTTTAATGTTTTTTAAGTCATTGTTGGGAAGGGGGATCCTTTTAGTGGTTTGGAAGCTTCACAGAAGCCCTTTTCCCCTCATACACTCCCCCAACCTTCAAGGGTGAGAATACCTTCAGCAGCTTCCTCTAGGAACTTAAGCTGGGTTCAGTCATGCAAGTAGCTTCCAGCTGTAACCTCTGGTTGTTAGCTTTGCAGCCCTTCTAGAGCTGGAAACGTAAAGTGGGTCAGAGGGAAAAGGCGCAAGGTGAGCACGGGCAAGGGGATATGTGGGCAAGGGAGGAGGCATGCAAGGGGCAAGTCCACTCCTCCCCAGCTATTTGCATGGCCAGCTCAGTATCTGAAAAGCATCTTTGTTGGTCGGCCACCCATGATAATTTTAGGTTAGCTAAATCATAAGGCTAAAGCAAATTCCAACCCAGAGCAAGAGGTTTCCTACCCTTTCGGGGGGTGACGGGTGAAGGACCAGAGAGCTGGTCTCATCTCCAGGCTTCTGTCCTACGTGCTGCTCCCACTCCCTAGAGGCAGCCAAAGGGGGAAAGGCGGGGGAGCTGCACAGCCCTAATCACAGGGCAATCTTCCCCCCTCAGAGGAACAAGTAGCCTAGTGAGGAGACCCAGGGCCTAGGGAGACACTGAAAAGGTTGTGAGCAAACAATAGGGCCCAGGGCACACGGAAAAGCACCTGACATCTGACGTGACGGGGTTTCCTGTCTCCTGTCCTATTCCTTACACCTGTGTTTCCGAGTTGAGCCCTAGACGAAGTTCGCCCGCCTAGGAAGGGGTGCACACAATCCTAGTTTTCTGGTGAGACACTAAATGCCGCGGTCAGCGGGGCCGAAGAGTCGCGGCGCGGCCGGGCTCAGTTCCCTCTGTAGACCTCGATCTTGCTGGCCTTGGCCAGCATGTCGATGATGTGCGCCTCGAAGTCGGCGTCGTGCACGCCCGTCTTCCGGAACTCGCCCGCGTACCGGTTATTCTCCCAGTAGTGGTGCCAGTTGCCCCGGCTGTCGGCCCCGAAGCCGTACACGTTCACCTGCGGGTGAGGGCGGCGCGGGTCACTGCACGTCGGGGACCCGGTAGCAGAGGGCACGGGAGAGCCTTGGGTCGTGGGAGGGGATGAGAAAGGGGCTGCGGTGCCCCGACCCGAGCAGGCGGCGCCTCATCCGCTCCCGACGCGCTGCACGCGCCTAGAAGACCCGGGACACCCAACCCTGACACTGTTCCAGAAGACACTGTCCCAGAGGGAGAGGGCTGTTCCCTTCCGGTTCTCCTTCCAGCCACCTTCTGATGACATCAAGAACGCCTGAGTTTGGGGCCAGCCTGACAGCTCACCAACCCTTGCTAACATTTTTTTCCCCCTTAATGGTGTATTTTATTGAAAGCTGGTCAGGTACGCAATATCATACACTGAATAGTTTACTGGCAAAAGGGTGTGCTGGGCATGAGCACTGCTATCCATGGCAGAGTAGCAGGCGGAGCCCAGAGAAGGGCTCCTTGAATGACTAATCTCCATTTTTAACACAGAGTAGGCCTGGGGCCCACAGCTGTGGGAGACACTATTCTGTTGAAACAACTACAACACTGTTCCACTTCATTTATGGTTATTCTTTCTTTATGGCAAGTAAGTATCAATTATGGTATTCAATTTCCTTTTTAAATAAATTTAACGTTTTAATGAACTGATATCAGATATGGTAAAATCATGAAAATAGTAAGTTTGGGAAATGCAGATCTATACCCTGCAGCCTAGAAATAGGGGGAATGAAAGCCACTTAGTTCCTTCCTACAAAAACACATTCCTCTTGATGCACTGCTAAGCCCTGACAAAGGCTGGTTACCTCTGCCCCTTGGGTTCTACTATCTTATCCCCAGACCAGGCTACCCACCTCATCACACACATGCAGGGCAAAGAAGAGTACCAGCATCCCAGTGGAAGGGTACCGCCCATGATGCTCTGTCCACCTGTCATGGATGTACTTGAAGAAGGCTGGGTTGTAGATCTGGACCTAGGAGGAGAAAATGTAATGAGCATATGAGGGCTTCTGGGACCTGAAATCCCAGGCCAAGCTCTGATCAGTTCCTCCACACGTGCCAGTAGACCTGTCCATCAGGGTTTCCTAGTTCCTGCAGCCTTTGGGGGGGGGGGGAGGGACAGGGGGGGTGGAGTCAGGCATACCAGCAGATGGGGACTCTTAAGGTTCTGGAAGGGTACTGGGGGATACCTGAACCACAGGACCAGGCACAGCATGAGTCAGGCCTGCACTATTTCCATTGAGGTGGGGAGGAGGAAGCTTACCTTTTCTTTGTCCACTCGAAGGAAGGACTTCACTGGGGCATAGGTGCTGCAAGCAGAAAGAAAAGTAACGCTGAGCTGGCTCCATACACCCAAGGATGCCTTTCCTCCCGCTGAGGCCCAAGTGATGACGGCCTCATGACAGGCTGCCCTGCTTCCAGACCGTTCTCCCACTGCACCTCACTGCAGCTCCTTGTCCAGAAACCAATGGCTCCCTACGTCCTCCAAGATAATATAAGGATGGTTTACACAAGCACTGGGGCGTTCCATAACTCAGCCGCAACTTTTCTTCCTATGACTCTCTGCTGTGACGTCTCCACTTGGGTTAGCCCATCTTCTCACACCCAGCATGTCTGTGCTCTTAACCTCTGCCCACAGCAGCCCTGACACTACTATCCTCACATTAGGCACAAATCCCTCCTTCCCTATTAGCCATGGTGCCTGTAACCTATGCTCCCATTTCTGAGTATCCATGGAACTTAAACTCTACAGCACTTATTTTAGCCCTGAGGACTCCCAAACATAAGCTAAAGTCAGAAAACTGCAACTTCTGTGTTTAAAAAAATACATGGTGAAAATAGGCAAAGGTGGAAGTAATCCAGTTGTCCAATGGGCAGATGAATAGATAAAAATGATACATCCATACACCAGAATACTGTGCAGCCTTTAAAGGGGATAAAACCCTGACACAGGCTATAACACAGATGAGCCCTGAAAACATGATGCTACTGAAATAAGCCAGAGGCAAAAGGACAAACACTGTATGATTCCACGTGTATGAAATACCTAGAACAGTCAAATCATAGAGACAGAAAGAACAGTGATTATCAGGGGCTGGAGGGAGGAGGGAATGGGGAGTTACCATTTAATGGGTACAGAGTTTTCATCTGAGATGATGAAAAAGTTCTGGAGATGGGCTGTGGTGAGATTTGTACAGCAATGTGAATGCACTTAATGCTCATGAACTGTGTGGTTAAAATAGTATTTTATGTTACATATACACATTTTTACACACACATGTGCACACACAAAAACCATGGTGAGACAGTAGATTAGTGGTTGCCTAGGGCTACGGGTGGAGGGAGTGGGGGTGACGAGTAAGGGGTACATCTTTAGATTATCTTCATCTTTGGAATATCCATGTGTTCTAAAATTACTTGCAATGGTTACATAACCCTAAACCCTGTGCATATACTAAAAGCCACTGAACTGCACTTTACATGTGTGAACTGTATGGTATGTGAATCCTATCTCAATAAACCTGTTAAAGCAGAGCTAACAGACAGGAGCCGCCTCCTGGAAAGGGGGCCTGGAAAGGTATCCGCCAGCTCTCGAACACCAGTATGCTGGCTGCCACCATGCAGGGAGTGGCCCAAAACAAGCTGTGGCCTCAGCTAGCCACCATTTGGGGCCATCCCTACTGTTGCTTCTCTCCTCACCAGCCTCTCTTGGCCAAAGTAGTCAATGAAAGGAATCCTAAGATCTGGTCCCTAACAGTTCCTCCCCAGACGGGGCGGTGCCCCGTGTCCCACTTGCAGCTGGCAGCGGCTCACAATCGGATCTGCCCGGTGGACAGGGCGCTGGCGATCCACAGGAGGTCCAGGGCCTTGAAGGGCACCAGCACGAAGCTGACGTTGGCGGGCAGGTTCCTGGCACTCTCGGGGTACATGAAATGGTGCGTGGTTCGGCTGCCGACATCCTGCTCAAAGCCCACGGTTGGTGCCTGATTCATCCTGCGGGGACAAGAGGGTGGTGTGACAAGACTCTGACAGAAACTGGTACAAGAATTCTAGAAGACAGTTTGGTGCTGGCCACCATACATGTAAACAGGTGTGCACTTACCTAGCAATTCCATTTCCAGAGATCTATCCTATAAAAATGGTTGCATCACTGTGCAAAAATGTGTGCAAGGATATTCATTGCAGTATTATTTATAATAGTAAAAAGAAGAACCAATCAAACAGAGAACCAGTTAATATCAATACATTTTGTCACATTCATGTAACAGAAGAGCATGTGGTCATCAGAATGAATGAATCAGATTTTTCATGTGCTGGTAAGAAATAAGTTTTCAAGAGCTATTTAGTAAAAAAAAAAAAAAAGTGGTGAGGAATCTCACTTCTTTCAACACATATCTTTTGAATACCTATGCAGTCAGAGGAAATCACAATGCAAAAAAGGAAAACTGAAAATTCAATAGTGTGATTCCATTTTTTGTAAAAGAGAAAGAAAAGGGAAGGATGGAAAGGGACAGAGAAGGGAAAAGGAAGTGAGGGAAAGAAGGGAAGAGGGATGAGGGAGGGAAAAACCTGACTTTTGTATATAAATAGAAAAAAGCTGGAAGAGTATTAAAATTTTAGCAATGCTTACTCTTGGAGAATGGGATAATCTACTTTTTAATGTGTACACTTTTGTTTTTTCCCCCAATAATGAGCACATATTATTTTTACAATTTTTTAAAATAAAAAGACAGCCTTTCACAGCTTACAGCTCACTAGGCTGTTCTGTCCTTTCCTAGAAGACAGTGAGGCAAGGTAAGAAGACGGAGCTCCCCCTCAGCCCCCAGGCAGTAGGTTCAGTTCCACCAGCGCCAGCACCCTGTTGCTGCACTTTCAGTTCCTGTCTGCCCTTCCACTCCAAGACCAAGGGGGAAACCCAGAGCTCTGACAGTGCCCACCTCAGCTGTCCCGGGCACACGTGCAGTGCGGGGCTCTCTCCTTTGCCGTCTTAAAAGAACCTGGAACCCCAGCACAGTGTCTTCCACCCAACCTTCCCCTGCCCACCGCGGTGTGACACACCAAGGTGGCGTCCAATTCCTTTCAAGTGGTGCAAAACATAGGATCAATAAAATCAAAGCTTCTCTTGTTGTGAGCATCTTAAAAACAAGTGATCCAGCTTTAAATACAAACCTGTTGGTCTTTTCTGCTGTGAGAACACAGTCTTACGTGGATCACACTGCAGAATCACACCACCCAAGTGGGTGGCTGAAACCTGGGCCTCCACTGAGGACACAGGGATGTGGGAGAGAGGCAGCAAGGTCCCCACTTGCTCTCCCAGCTTTTTAGCCAGTTCAACATGCCCTGTCCTTAAAGGGGCCAGCACCCCCTAGGTCCTGGGTCCTGTGTCACAGAGGCTCCCCTGCCACCTCTATGGATGGCACAGCGTAGTAAGGGTGTGTCCAAGATGCCCCCCTCTATCAATCACTTGCTGTACCTTCTGCCTCTCTGGTTCCCTTCCCTTGAGGGACTGGAGAGTATTATGTTTGGGAAACCAAGAGTGGCCTGATTTGGAACTAGAAAGTGAGTCCTTATTCTTGGCCACTTTACTTCCTGTCTGCTTCAAGGAGAAGCCTAGACTTTCCTGCAGGACCAACTGTGCTCTGGCCCCAGAACAAGGATTAAGATCCTGTCCCCCTTCCCCCAAACCCAGTTCTTTAGATTAACTGCCCCTCTGATGTCTTGGTCTTTAGGGTTGAGAGATCCTGTCTCCTAGAGGAGCTGAAAAGCCTTTTTCTCATCCACTGTGGGTTACAGCTCCACACACACCACTGGTCCTCTTGTCAGCACAGCCACAGTCCGAATCTGGCTCTGCCACGATAGCCCTGGGGTCTGTGAGGAACAGAGCAGGTGCAGAGGATGCCTTGATCGGATGGTGTTTCTCAGCTGCCTGGGGTATGCAAGTGGGTAGCAGACTTGGACTGCTGGCACTTAAGCTGGCTGGGGTCTGGGCTGGGCAGGAGCTGGGGTCAAGGTTCACGCTTGTGAGGACCCAAGAAACACACCTCATCTCATTGAAGATGGAGAGGCCAAGATGGCCCTGCAGATCACAGGGCTGCAGCTGCCCCAGATCAGCCCTGAGGACCCCCCATCTGCCTTTCCGACAGTTTAGCAGCCAGAGCTGTCACGACGCCCCTCCTTAGACGTCGTCCAGGATCACAGCCTCCCAGTCTCGAGTCAGCCCTCCTGGAGAGTCTCCATCTCCCTCGAGTGCTCCCCATTTGCTGGGCAGGCAGCTGCTTCCAAAAGTTTGGAGATGAATGGAAAAGGGATCTAAAAAGATGTTTCAGAGCCTCCAAGGAAAGGGAAGTGGCATGCTTCTGGAGACAGCTGATTCATTCTGGAGAAGCCAGGCCCTGGAAAGGGACCAGGGCGGGATGCAGAGGATAAGTTGGATCTCCGTGACTCCAGGGAGAAGCTTCTAGACTTGTCTCTGTCCCCTGCCACCAGAGCACCCGGAGCAGGATGCGCATATGGGCATGCTTAGGCTTCAGAGTGTGGGCACTCAGTCCCCTTCACTCTTTCATGTATTCACGGTGAGCCTACCATCTGCACGTGGCTATTTGAGGAGCTGCAGATCCATCTGCTGGCCAGCTGAGGGGAACCAGATCAGCTCCATCTAGTCAGAGGGGCTCTGGAGTCAGAGGGGAGGTGGTGGCGAGGGGAGGACCTGGGGGCTGGAGGCTGGGCACACTCCCCCATCAGCTCACTGTAACTCAGCTCAGCCCTCCCTTTCATCCGTGGGGCTTTCATCCCTCCTGTTTCCAGGAAGGGAGGCCTCCCCACAGGTTCCAAACCAAGACGCGCCTATAAGCAGTTACCCTCCATTGCCATCTGGTTGCTTCCACAAATCAGCTGAAAGCCACTCCTTCCACAAAGAGACCGGCATTTGACTAGTCTGGTGTAGGGGTCAGGCATCCATGTATTTTTTAAAGCTTCCATGTAACACTAATAATGTGCAATCACGGTTGACAAATACTCACCTACAGAAAAACTCAAATCTTTATCTGCAGTTTCATGTAAGTAAAAGATATTTATACATATTTATCATAATATCTAACCATTTTACTCAACTGTGTTATTAATTCTACAAGCTTGTTGGTTTATTCATATTATCTATAAGTAAAACTTTTTTTCATCCTGTGCACAATCACCATTTTTGCTGTTCATTCCTTGCTTTACTTCCTGCCTAACTCTGAGAATTATGTTAAATAACGTTGCAGAAAATATCCTTCTTTTCCACTTGATTTTAATAAGAGTACCTTTAGACCTGCCATTATTGAGGGTTTTGGTCACTGATATGGAATATGTAAAGAACCCTGGAGAAGGCAATGGCAACCCACTCCAGTACTCTTGCCTGGAAAATCCCATGGATGGAGGAGCCTGATAGGCTACAGTCCATGGGGTCACACAGAGTCGGACACAACTGAGCTGCTTGACATCATGACATCCACAAAGAAGTCCTGGTGTCAGTCCACAACACCCGTCTCCTGGCCTGGCTCCTGTGAATCTCTCTCTGCCTGACTAGGACCAGGTACCGTCCAGGTCTGTCCAGCAGCCAAGTGTCTCTGCCCGCTGTGCTCCACTCCCTGGAGCTTCCCAACCGTCCAAGGTGCATGGTGAAGACCTGCAGGAGGTGGAGAGGCCCTGCAGGCAGCACCTACAGACAAGAGAGCCCTTTCCGGGCTTTCC